CCTGAACCTCTAAACCCCTAAACCCCAAAACCTCTAGGATGGCTCACCTCTGCTGTACCGCTGCTGGACGTCACCGCGCTCTGAGCCAAGACCATCCAGTCCTGCTGAGGAAAAGAGACATCTGGAGTTTCCCAAAATTGGCGTTTAGGGTTCAAAGGTTTTATGGTTTAGGGTTGCAGGGGTAATGGGGATAATGGAAAAGAAAATAGGAACTATGGCTTAGGGAATTATTTCCCATGGGAATGAATTGAGATAATGGAAAAGAAAATGGAAACTACTGTGGGGGTGTAAAAGGTGTAGCGTGTAGGGGCTTCCCAAAAGTAGGGGTACGTTGAAGGCGTTAAGAGGGCTTTATACAGGTTATATAGGGTATATAGAGTTTGCCAAAATGGAGGTACCTTGTTGGGATAGCATTTCTGGGTCTATATTGGGCCCCCCTATTCATGATCCAGGGGCTTCTTCACATCAGAGCTCCTTTGTTAAAACCCCTGTAACCCTAAAACCTGAACCGTATCAGAAGATTCCCATTACACGGCTTGTGGGTTGGCGGCTGGCGGAGGTTGAGGATTCAGAGTTTGGGCATGTGGGGTTTAAGGTGTTGGGTCTAGGGTTTCGGGGTTGTGTTTCGGAGCCTGTCAAGCAGCATAGTGTCTGCATTGAAGCTAGCCGCTGACGATCGTGGGCCGGGTTTTGGGTCGAGGGCTTAAGGGTTTGGGTCTGGGGTTTTGGGTCTAGGGTTTAGGGTCTCTTTAGGGCTATAAGTTTGGCCAATGACCAAACATACTGCAGCAATAATGCGGGTTTCTCCTGATGTAGAATACCAGATCTGCGCAGACAAACTTCCCATGAGGATCATGCCTTACCACGCCTATCCCCGACTGAAATGCTCGTCCGAGAAGATGATCCTACCCCAAACCCCGCAAGACTCTTGAACTCTTAACCCAAATACACCGTCCTCACCCATGTAAGAAGGATGGTGCAGGCCCATGTCCTTGGCTGAAACACATGTTTTCAGAGGGCTTAAGAAGACTTACAGGCGGGGACTCGGGGGCCCCGGTGGAGAGCTCGCACTGTAGCCCCTGACTCAATAAATGGCTTGGTATGGGGACGTAATCCACATCAAAATTATGTGCTAGGACTTGTTGCTGGAATACTGTTTATAGGAGGTCTGAGTCAAAGAGGGTTGTCAAAAATACGATTGAATGCCTTTGCAGGCAAATGTTTCTGGAGCTGAGAGTTTGAGCATTGAAGATTGGGACCGCCCGCTTTCGTGAGGTTCTGTGGTCTACCCCTTGTAGATCAAAGCAGCGGCTTCCCTACCACGATGTGTGCCAAAGTCAAAATCCCACTTCCGTTGCCGTGTTTGGGGTTCTGCAAGTGTGGGCACATGTCACAGTCGGGGCTCCTCATGGATCTTTTAGAGTTTAATGTTCTACGGTCCAAAATTCTTCGGACTTGAGGCTCCATGTGGCATGTTTGATGTTGGATCGTTTGACAAAGTTCACATGCGAGGTCCCTTCTCAAGTGCTACATTCTTTACACACAACATCGGATCGACTGCGGGCGCTACTCTTGATCAGTTTGAAGACAAATGCTTTTGAAGCTCTTCACATGTACGTCAGAGCCTGACATCAAGAACTCTACAAGCCCCATCCAAGCTCAACTTGGTGTCCACATACTGCTGGAGCGGAATGGAGTAGCAGGTGACGGTGAAGACGTTGAGCGCAAAGAAGGCCGGGTAGCAGAAAGTGCGCATCGATGTGAGCGCCTAGGCCCGTAGCAGCAAAAAAAACTTTGAACTCTAATCCGTACAGCTAGACTGAACTAATGTATAGTCCCCCTTAAGTAGATAGAAGATGGAATTCACCCAAACCAGAATAACATCCCCACATATCCCACACTCCACCTACTCTAGGGGGACTAGAGGCCGCTGGAACTTAATGGCTGAGCCCCAAAGGTCCAATCTCTGACCCTCAAGCCTAAGCCCCCAGAACTGACACTCGCTTGCTTCAAACCCCAAAACCTTAGCTCCCAAATTGGTTTAGGGTTCAAGGGTTTGGGTTTAAGGACCCCCCGCACTTTCTTGCCACACTCAAGCACCCTATCCCTGCACATCTAGAGCAAGATGCCTAAACCCAATTGCCAGACCTGAAGCGCTACGCTAGATTCTAAACTCTGAAAATGCCTACACCTTGATTCCCCCTACTCTGAACAGCAAACCAAGTTCTCAATATCATCCCTGATGTGGACCCCTGCAATCCTCTAAACATGGTCAGCTGTGTCTCTTGTCAAGAATGAGAGTCCTCCAAATTCCCAAATGACGGGACCCTTGTTTGTGGCAAGTTGAATCTGCCCCGGAGCACACGCAAAGGTCCATGACTCAAGTCGCGATTGAGGATGCTCACAAGCCTTAGCCGTAACGGGCATGTCAGACTTCGACCAGGGCTTCTTAGGGCGCGTTAGTAAAGACGATGATGGAGCTTACTACAGGGAACAGTCGGGGTCCTTATATCTAATTGGCCGAGTGCTATAAGCAAGCTTGCCCTACACGTCAAGGGATCAACGAATATTTCAGATGCTCGTCCTCCATGTGCATTCTATAAACCACAAGGGGCAAATAATATCTGATTCTTGCAGCTCCTGGCTTCTACTCGCCATAGATTTCCCATGCAATCGATAACAGTTGAATGATGTAGGTACTTCATTCTCAAGAGTAGGCGCCCCCCTTCCCCAATTACCGCAGGACCAATGTGTTAGGACCCCAGAATGCCGTTTGTAGCTTGCACTTGAAGACACTTAGTGCTTTGGGTTTGGGTTCCAACCTAAACCGGCAAACTATGTGAGGTAAGAAGAAATACACTCTTACTTCTCATCAAGGACCACAGTTGCCTTCGCAGAATGAAAGACTGGACTATTTCCAGGGTGCGTCCCCTACGTTTGCCGGGCATCATGTTTCTGGAGACCTGGTGTTCAGAAGATATGCGGTGACTTCTGGGGGGTGGAGGTTGGGGCGGGGGTATTAGAATCAACATGAATAAACACTTCTAACATATACCTGCAAGCCAGCATTCCCACACTGTATTGCTATTCAAGAACATCCACCACAACCCCCAAAACGTGCAATTCTCGCAAAGTACCATTCTATAATCCCAATGTCATGCAGACGCAATGAAAAGTCATGGCAAGCGCGGCAAACTTGGCAAACTTGGATATTAACAAGAAGTTGTAAGAGGTACAAATCTTCAGCAGGTGTGTCATGCAGTATCATGAGTGTATACATATATATATATAAAGAGCTTAGACACTCCGTGTCCTCGGAGTTGGGGTTTGGAAGACGATGGCACCCTTCCGGGTGTTTTGCGGCAGCTCAAGTCTGGACATACGGCAGTATGCGGGGAGTGTATACGTTCTTTGCATATTCTTGATATTGCATGACATACTTGCTAAAGATGTATACTTTTTTACAACTTCGTTTTTCATGTCCAAGTATACCAAAGTTACTGCGCTAGCCCTGACTTTTCACTGCTCCTGCATGAGTCAAGCTGCATACTGCTGTATTTCAAGAATTGGGCAGCCGCGAAACACAGAGAGGGGTGCCATGCGCGTCTTCCAAATTCATTTTGCGAAGACGCGGAGTGTACTCGTTTTCGATATGATCACGATACTGCAAGACAGATCTGCTCCATCTTTGCTGTTGCTTCCACTTCCTCTTGCATGCTCAAATTTAATGCGCCTGCCATGACTTTTAACTGCTTGTGCATCATGCATTCGCTTTTCCCCTGAATCAACATGTCACCGTCAAAGGGTCCGCGAAAGAAAAAACAAAAAGGCAAACGTGGGCGACGCACCCGATTTCCAAGGCTTACAGCCAGCCAAGACTCTGTGGCTGGAAGACTACCGGCATCTCTCGGCCAGCCTATGCGAGGATAGGGAAGATATGTGATCAGGAAAGGATTCACAGAGGTTACGTTGCAGTTGCAAGGTCAATCCAGATTCCCAGCTGGCCCTCCTTGGCATGGAGTGCAGTCTAAATGGGGTTCGACTACTTCTAATCCTCCAAGCTTGCCCACGAAGAACCATCCGCAGCCTCCATTGCACACCTTGCCCAATGTTCACAAGACAGCTCCAGCTGCTCGAAGTAATTCTTCGGCAGCAAGACTTGGGAGTCCAACTTGGTGAACATATACCTGCAGCATGAGTAGAAGTACTCGTAACTGAAGTCGAACTGAAAAATGCAGCATGACACAAAAAGCTTCGCTCATGGATTTGTATAGATGCTGCTGAGTTAGATATTACTGCCACAGTTGCACACCTTCATTGCCCTTCCTGAAACTGCCATTTCTGTGTTACTTGATACAAGTACCAGTGCCACCAGCAATAAGAATAGCAGTAGAAGTCGTGGTAACGTCGCGGTCACTGTCGCCGTCGTAGTGGTGGTGGTGGAGGAGGATCCGGGTAAATTAAGATTCAAGCGTACGAGCAGGAGTAGCGATGGGGATATAAGCATGAGTAGGGTTAGGAGTTGATGTCCTTTGAAGTATAACCACTACTGCTATTCTCGTTACTACAACTACTGCTACTACTACGGCTCCTTCTGACACGTGAAACTGTTGCATTGAGCGTAGGCACCTGAACAGGTTCCTGTTGCCAATGTCATCCACGTCGTGGAAGAGAGCGTAGGCAAGGTTGGAGCACAAGCCTCGCATAGTTTGGGACTCGGAGCGTAGTAGTTTTGATGCTTTGGGGTGTAAGGTTCCTGGAGCAAAGCCTGGAATTTCAGACCAGGAGATTCACGAGGGATGTCCAGTCCTTGAAAAGGATTAGACCGGGTTGGGGACAAGAAGTCACGCTGGTCGTTAGCTTGTGGGGCTCTCTGAAACTCGCGCCTTACAATATACAAATATATATATATATATACTTTTCAAAAAACCTCACATCAACTAACCCCCAAATTTCAAAATTCACAATGTTCAGAAGCCTCGAATCTCGCCGGGTGTGTCGCCAACAGGGTGCACGTAGAAGCGCACTTCAGGAACCCGCGACAGGTATGACCTGTCAGTATCTCCGCAAGCTCGGGCGCGGATACGATCGTCCAAAAAACATTTGCTTGATGGAGACAATTTAACGTTTGAGAGATGTTGTGAGCCAGAGACTTTTCAGTGTCTCCAAATGATAAGGCTTGCGGTGACTCAAACACACATCCTGGACAACTATGGAATACACTCTTCAGACGATAACCTGAGAAAACGCCCCAGCAACGGAAGTTCAAGGCTCTGGGGAAACCCGAAACCCAAATGAGGTCACGCTAGTTCTGGTTAGTTGGAAGTAATACTGCTATTTCAGCTGCCAGTTGCCAAAATTCAACCCCCGCATTAAGCAGCATAGCCACCTGTACAGCTTGAACCTCTCCTCCGCACGGTCAGTGGCAGCTTCCATCGCAAAGATAACCCTCATGCGGGGGGCCGCCGTAATGTTGTTCAAGCGCGAGATTGTGGCAATGACCATGTCATCCGGCTCCTGCGCAAAGGGCTTAAGGCTCATGGGCTTGGAGGCCATGTATGCATAGTGATAAAACAAATTTCAAGGCACTCACTATCTTAACTTTTTAACCGCATGCCCGACTTGTACTCAAGATCAAACTCCAAATTAAAACCAGGAAGGTTCTGCTTCACCCTCCCAAGAAACAACTCCACTGATCAGGAATCCCAATACCCTAACCCAGGAACCAGAACGCCAATCTGTCACTCCGACATCCGGTTATACCAATAGACGCGCAAAGAGCGTGATCATGACAACAATGTCGCAAATAGCAGTCAGCATGCTCATCTTAGTGAGCTTCACACGGTGATACTTCTAATTAAAGGCAATAGTAGCGCTACAAGCGCTAAAACCTACATAGATTGGGCGATTCCAACAATAACAAGGTCTCTCCCTTCTTATGTACTCCAGCATGAGGATCCCGAAGCTTGAACACCCTCCCATGTTTGAAAACAGTCGTTGCGAAGATTCCTTGTAGATTGGCACGCACACAAGGTGGAGGATGGTTGATGTCGAGCTTGCACTGGCTGCTTCCTTCAAGGTGATCATGTCAAGGGCTTTTGTATGTTCAGGGCTTCGGGGTCTCAGAGCTGAGGGAATATAGGGGCTTCCCACCAAAAAGCTAAAGAAAAAAAAAAGAATATTTCACACGAAGTCGAACTTCAGAATGCCGGTTCGGGAGGCTTGGGTTTAGGCTTGAGGGCTTCATTCTGAGCCGTTTAGAGTTTGCGTAGAGCACGAGCCACGTTTACTCGATGCATTTTGACTATACTTATAGGCAGTCCTCACACAAGAAGTGGTGAACACCTGCATCACAGGGGTGATACCCTAAAACCTCAAGCTGCAAGACCTAAGGCTAAGGTTTACCATCTTCTGAGGCGTGCCAAAATCATGACCGTCAAAAACAATGCTGGCAGCATCAAACAGTGAGAACAGACGCAAGAACCAACATGTATGCGGAATGTAGCAAGGACCGTGATTCCTGATGGACGCCCCAACCACCGCTGCTACTGGTGGTAGCTGTGACAGCAACGGGAGCAGAGTCAGATGTGATTTCAGCACGCGTGGGGAAGTTCCTAGTCTGCGTGCAGCATGAAGATGGTCTGGTAAACAACAAGTGCGCAGACATGGGAACAGGCCAAGACAGGGTTTCCGTGGACCCTTGACCAAGCCTGCTGACTCCATCCGAAGCCTTGCAACCGAAGCCCAAGAATCTCACACCATTTTTGGGTTCTTTAGGTCCAGGAGCCTTCCGAAGTGCCCTGATTTGCCATGCGCTGCGACCGGCGGCAAAGAGAACGTAATTTCCAACGAGGCAGAAAACCTCAGCGCAGGCTCCAGGTGCGGAGAGTTCATGCAGGGCTCAGGGTGTCGATAAATGATTTATGAACTTTGGGTGAATAAGCTGGATCCCTTTCAAACATATCTGTAGTGAGGCCCTCACAAGCTTTCCACCCAGCAGGAAGCACCGTTTCCCAAACAAGGATCTCCAATTTCGAAACTATCATGAGGCGTACGCAAGGTCTACATAGAAAGATGCAAAGTAATCCTCCGGAATGCGATACGAGGAATATGTAGGGCTTGCAGGCAATGCTTGAAGAACCATGCAGGTTTGCGGATGTATCAAAATTATTCCTAACCAGCCTGTCGATCCCTCAACCCTGAACTCTAAACTTGCTGTGGCCGTCCTCACTCCAAGACCCTCAAACCCCAAACCTCAAAAATTTGTCCTCCTAAACGGTCTCCGGCAGCCGCCACAAGGGCCGCGAGCACGTAGCTGCCGACTTCCCCGCTGCTCAAGGCCACAATGGGGGACAAAACCACCAGAGCCTTTCACGATGGCTTCAAGTCGGAAAATGCAACGGTTAGCATGCAGACTCAGTCTCGATATTAGCTCCGACTACTAGTTGCTTTAGTCCGACAAATTTCTTGGAATTGATTGTGTGTGGCAAAGGAGAATGGGCTTGCTGGCAGAGGTCCAGACTTTTCTAGGAGTGATTCGGGAAAGCATGAGGCTGTTCTGTCCATACATTCGCGCAGGTGTTTATGGAACCAAACCCTGAACCTTCGTGTAAGCTTAGGCTTACATGCATAGAGTTCAGAGCTCCTCAGAACCCCATGATTCTATGAAGGTGTTTTTGGTTGCGGTTGTTGTCAATACCAGCGCGATACTGTATAACTGCGGTTGTCTTGCAACTGCAACTGGCATTCTTCTGCTCTGAGGTTTGGCTGGGCACGTAAGGCTGAGAGCGCAGGGGTTTCGAGGATGGTCCAAAACCTGAGCCTGGACGATGATCGTGGTTGTACGAAGCCTCTACGATGCTTTGATGATGTTAGGCACAAATATCTAGCAAGGCAAGACTGCTCCGAAAAGTTGAGGCGAAAAGGGCCGAACCAGGCCCCAGCTGTGACAGCTTCATCTACCTCTAGACAGTGCACCTTCCGCGGCATGCATGGGGTTGGTTCTCTGGCCCTGCGACCTCTACGTGTCAAAGATGGCTGGCACGTTGTAACTTCAAAAACTCCAGAATTTCCAACTGTCTTAGCTAGTGGGGCTTGGTTCAGAGTGATCCTAACCTCTTCGGAGTGGGTAGGATTCAGCGTAGTAGCGAGGAGTGGGGGAGTGAGATAGGAGCCTGCTGGGCTAAGGTAGCATGGAGAGGCAACCCTCAACACTAATCAAGTTTAAATCCATCCGACCTCGATACTCCATGACCTGACCCCTGTGAAAGCTTGACAACATCAAGAGAATCTTGAAAAAATACAGCTTTAAAAGCCAAAGGAAGCCTGGAACCCTATCCGAAGACTGCGGCATAATGGAATGCAAAGATGCTCTCAACACCCAAACTCTTGAACTTACTGGCTGTAAATCGGGAATAAGCGAACTAAAGACAATGCAAACTACTAGATGACCGGGGATTAAGTAGGGGTAGGGGCTACCACAGGCATCCGTTCCTCCATTCCCTTGGAACAAGCAGCCGATAGTCCTGGACCCTACACTGTATATACATGTGTATATGTATATATGTACACGTATAAATGCATATCCCTGCAATCCTCCAGTTTCCATTTCATTGTCCATCTGCTTGTCCATTTGATTTCCCATTCCCTACTTACAGCCAGCAAGTGCATGGAAGCGTGTGCCTGGGCGAGGAGGAGGCTGAGGGTCACCTGAGGACCAAGAGTACTGATGCAGGGCGGGCATAGAGTGCAGGCTTCAAAGCCCCATCATACCATCTACTCTCCCCAAACCCTGAACCCCCAACCCGTGATTGCTCAGAATCCCCACCTGCTTACCAAAATCTCTGAACCGCCTTCCGTTGAAGCCGTAAACTCCAAATCCCGAACCCTCAAAAAAGACGAGGAACTCTGCACCCAAAGGCACCCCTAAAACCCATACGACTACGCCACCTGCGGGGCCGTGCGCTTGGGAGCGCCCCATCGCGCCATGGCCGTTACAACCTTTTGGGCAGCTTCCCCTACAATTTGTATATGTTTTTGTAAATGATTCTTGCCCTTTTAGAAGGCTGCAACAGTACTGCTGCTTATTGTTTCACAGGGCCTTCTAGAGCGTTGGAAGAAGCCATCGGCTTGAAAGTGGCTTTGCGATGCATTAAAACGCCTCACAATGTACATGCTCGGCAGGGACGCTAGTTGGGGGGAAGTCAAAATAATGGTCTCTTATCGGGCACCACAAATATTAAGGGCCGTACCATAATGGGGACCCTGACCATGATTTTGACAACCTACCATTTGGGCTTGTAGATATTACAAGTAGGATGCTAGTATATGCAGATGTATCAAACTATACTAAGCCTACTTGGAGGGTCAGGGGACTTCGTAAGTAGGCGAAAAACCCCTAGAACCTGCATAGTATATAGCCCTAGTTCTATCCCGTGTTAACCTACTTACTAAGTCCCCCTGACCCTAGGTCCGGAAGCCAGAGTTCCCCAGCAAGCGACAAAAGCAACATCTTTGGGGACAGTAGTCAAAAGAATACGGATCAGGTTTCGGGTTTACGGAATCACTGTCACAAGAGCTCAAATGTCAATCTGCCCTCGGAACCTAATTGAGAATGAAACAACTTTCTTCGGAAACCACTGGGACAGTTCTTCCAAACCTAAAGCTTGAAAAAACGGTATGCTAAGAATAACAAATATACTTGCAAGAGTTCTGCTAGGTCTGTTCACCCTGGCAAGAAGAGTTGTTGCTTTTCTGGAAACAGCACAGAAACAATCCTTCCTTCCTGCGGAGAATTTGTCAGCCAAGCCCCATGAGCAAAGACCAAAATGCTGAAATACTTTCTGCCAGTCAAAACCCCTCGCAACCCTTGAAGCCCCCCGAAACTCCACTTGAGCCTGAATTCAGATTTGCAGCCCAGAAACCAAAAGCATAGCGTACCAAATTCGACACTGTAGATCCACAAACACATGCTCTAAACGTTTGCCATGAGGACAAACCAATCCCTGCATACATTCCCATAAACACTCATAGTCCCGCAATGATATGGTGGTTTTCAAGTTCAGGCAAGGGACGCTGCAGTACAACATTCTTTGCCAACATACTTTCATGTATATAGATATACATGTGTGTATGCATATATCCGAGCACATTTATGTTTCGTCTGGTAACGGAAGGAATACAAAGCAGCATCATATCGCAAAGCCATTCCAGTTAAAAATTTGTACCTCCTAGACCCTAAAACCTACAGCCCCCAAGACCCTTCAACCCCACCTCGCCTCAAAACTCCACAACACCTTAACCCCCTCCCCAACCCCAAACATATTTACGACTGTGGGCCTCCTTCTCGGCCTTGGGGGACAGCCCCGAGCTCGAACGGCCGAGGGTTGCCAAGCTTGGCCTTGCTCCAGTGGGGCTGCTGGGCCTGAATCAGGGTCTGTAGGGTGTAGGGTTTAAGGCTTAGGGTTTAGGGCTTAAGGCCTGGCTTTAGGGTTTATGTGGCGCTTAGGTTGGGGGTTTAGGGCTTTGGGTTTAAGGTTTAAGGCTTAGGTTTTAGGGTTGAGGGCTAGGGTTTACGGGGTAAGGCTTAGGTTTTAGGTTTAGGGCCTAGGTTTAAGGCTTAGGATTGAGGGCTTCGGGTTTTTTTTAGGGCTTAGGTTATATGAGGAAATATTACCCCAACCATAGACATTTACCAGGGGGGATATAGGGATGTAGGGATAGATTTTCCTGATCAGGTTATATGGTGGTATATAACATACGGAGGTTTCTGCCCAACAACTGTATACAAATAGATTAGCCAAGCACTTATACAGGGGTATGTCCTCCGAATAATTCTACAAGGACATACTATCCCTATAGTTGTAAGGACATATTCTGCAACTAAACTTGTAGGGATCTATGATCTCAAGACATCTGCAAGGATATATTGTCCCAATAATTACAAAGGTACATGCCATCCCAATAGCCATATAAGGATGCGCGAGCCCGTTAGCTATTTAGGGACATATTGGAATGGGCTAGAAAAGGCTAGAATAACCCAATAGTTATTTAGCGATGTATGGTCCGAATAACTTTATGGGGACACATTACCCGCAGAATTGAATCAGGATACAATATGATGTCCGAATAATGAGACATGGATATACCATTACAATGGGGTTCGATAGGGTTGTATAGCGGTATGTAGCGGAATGGAAAAGAAGCTGGAAGCTACCATATTATCCAGGGTCCACGATTTTGGGTTAGGAAAACAAGAAAAACACTGAAAAAGAATTATTGCAACATGAACGTCTACAGCCTTCGCTTCCATTGTTTACATGCCTAATGGAAGAAGCGGGGTCAGATGAGCTGGGCCTGAATCCGCTCGGCCTTGCTCCGCCCGTTGGGCTCCAAAGCATTACACTCCTTCTTGCGTAGGGTGTAGGCTTTAAGGTTCAGGGTCTGGTTTTGAAGCGCCCGAGTTTGAGGCTTAGGGTCTAGGGGACGATTGCAGGAGGTGTTGCGGGAGCTGAGGTCGCAGTTGTTCTTAGATCCGTCAAATTCCTTTGCAGCCTAAGAACCTATTCTGAGCCTCAAGGTTCACATGAAACCTTGAACCTGAGCCCTGGTAGCCTGAAAACCTACAAAGCCACCAAAGCCAGCGCTTCACCTTCGGCTAAATAAAATGCTCAACCAGCGCTCCTCTTGCTGTACTTGCTGTTGGCCCTGGACCTCTGGCTAGGTCGCACCACCGCTTCGTTGACGGACAATTGCCTCAGCAGAGAATGAAGATTTGCAGGTTGGGGATTTCAAGAATTGGGGGTCTGGGAAGTTAAGCTTCCGGGTAGCAAGGGTTCCGTTTCACCATGGCAGACGATGCAT